CATGTTGTCTAAGTTTTTATTTTTGTCGTCGCCCATTTGCCTCTACAACATATGTATATCAGTGCCGTGAAAAACGGTAAGAGTAAAATTTCTGTGATCTATGCTCTTCACTCCCGTCACGATCGCAATCAGCTCTTGCAATTTTCCACACGCCAACTTTTTGAAGCGATTAATGTTGTGGTAGTGACATCACATTGATTGACCACCTGCTCTGGCCAATTCATGCAGGTACTCTTTGCATTACTTATCTTTTAGTTTTTCACGTGATAACCGAGCGCTGCTCTCTCATAAAAATTTTAGTTAGTTTATGTGAGATAACAACTTTTCCTTTATATCAGTTGCTTAATGTGTTTGGCCAATGTTTAATCGTGGTGCTAACAAAAGATTAATTTTTAAATATAAATAAACAAAGCAAACTCATGTAAAATTCGGCATTATTGTCGAAAGTTCATTTACGGGCACAATGAAATTGCGAATACGAAAACGATTTTTTCCCAGGCGTTTAGGCGATATCTTCTGTTTTTTATTGATAGTAGTCTTTTTGCCACTTGTTGCTTTTTTCGACGTTGTCGTTGTTGTGCCGGCTATCCACACACCGGGCGGGTTTATGCATAGCTTTATATTTACGATCGCAATGTTTATGATTTTCAATATAAATGGAAATATGTTTGCCACCATGATGGTGGATACCAGCCTTGATGGTAAGTTATATTAGTTTGATATATTTTTGTATGAATGTACATATGAAAATAGTTATCCCACCTATTTATAGCCATAAATCTGATAGTCCCAGAAGATGCTTCAGAAAAAGGATGGCATAGCTGTGAACGCTGTAAGAAGTTGACCCCTCCAAGATCTTATCATTGCAAAGGTAAACAACTAGTATTTCTTTAGAAAATATTTCAAGGGTATTTTACTGGCCAGTAATAATTCAGCAGAGTTAAATTTATAAAAAAAAGGCCGTTTCGTTCTTACTTTTTCAATGCGATATCGTTATGCTTCTTTTGCAATATAAAGAGCGGACGGTCTTTCTGCAGTTTTTACTATGGCATTTAGATATCAAAATAATAATAAATCATTCATTAGATACTAGTAAAAAACCAATACAAGATGAAATCTATACAAAGTAATTTGTATGGTCAGTATATCCATTCAAATAAATTTTTCATAAATATTATAGGTATTCAAGAAATCAAGCAAGTGGATTGGCACTATTTAAGTTATTTAATATTTTGGTTTATGGAGATTTTAAATAACTTCTTGTTTTTTTTTTCAGTTTGTAAGAAATGCATTTTAAAACGAGACCACCACTGTGTCTTCACCGGCTGCTGTGTTGGGCATTACAACATGCGATACTTTGCTTTGTTTCTTGTCTACATGTTTGTCGGTTCACTGCTCTCATTCTTTTACTTGAGTTATTACCTATTTTGGGTACGCGCCGAGACCTTTCGTCACATACTCAGCTTATTTAAAATGTTGGGTCCGATACTAATGGTAGCCCATGGCGGTAAATGGGATAATCTTCCGCTTCTATATTACAATTTAAATATAGTAGCATTAGTAATATCATCTATATTATTGGTATATCATGGAATACCTATAATCAGAGGTGGTACTTCTTACGAAAGACGCTTTAACTATCCATATGGAAGAGATTTCTACAGCAACTTGCGTACCATTTTTGGGAAAAGAATGTATTTGGTGTGGATTTCGCCATTTATTGGCAGTGAATTGTTGGACGATGGCGCAAATTCGGAAGAAGTGTTGGACAATGCGCCATTGCAGAGGCCATCAAGTCAGAAGCTTAGAAACAGAGTAAATCATCATTCTCGTAAGTCGCGCTTGGATTAAAGCTAGTTTAAATAGTCATTAACCCTAGACTTACTAGAACCATGTTCTGTAGTACGTAGTTTAACCCTGTTGTTTTACAAATAAAAGTAAACTAGATGTCATATGGCGGTCGCTGTGGAGGAATTGTTAGCAGTGTGCGTTACCATTCCGCAGGGCCTGGAATTATTGAAAACAATCACAAAATAGATGTAAAATATCTGTGCAAACGTTATTCGGGGTATATTGCTGAAACTACAAATATCAATACTCAATCAATAGTTACTATTTTCTGAATCACATATAAATACCTCAAAGAGTTTTAGGAATGGTGCTGGAGTGACAGTCCTTTTGATTAGATATAAATCCGAGCCGCTAGGTTACGTAGACCACAGGTAAAGGGGGTTTCGTCCAATTCGGCAACTCATGGGTGGCTGATCTGGCGGTCTTAAAAAAAACCCACCAAATTTTTTAAATAATAGCCTTGGCAGCTCCCTTTTGTTTACAATTGCAATTGGTCAATTGAAAAAGAAGCAGCATGATTTGTTATAAGTTGGCATCAGCGATTGGCCCAATTTGTTTACACCACAAATTATTTAGTTTTATCTTAATTACGAACAGCGGAATAGATACGGCGTGAACTTTTGTAAAGATCTGTTAAGGAAGCGATTTGCTATGCTTTTGCGGCGCAAATTCCTGCCACGTTCATTGCGTGATATCGGCTGCTTTTTGATGATGTTCATCTTCATACCAATAACATTTGTATTTGAGATCACCATAGTGCTACCCGATTTCCACGCCACAAATGGCATCATTTACATACTAACCTGTCTATTAGGACTATTTTTGCTATTCAATTTGCAGGCGAATATGCTGGCATGCATGTTGATAGACACAAGTGCGCGTAGTAAGTTGATGAATGTGTATATAAATTATCATATGTAAAAAAAAAAATATTATGTCAACCGTGTCTTGCAGCAATTGTACTAACACCTCCGTCTAATGATCGTCAACGTCAGTATTGGCGCTATTGCTCGGCTTGCGAAATGTTGGCTCCACCACGTTCTTGGCATTGCAGCATTTGTGATACTTGCATTCTCAAAAGGGATCACCACTGTGGCTTTACAGGTTCATGCATTGGTCATAACAACCACCGATACTTTGTTTTCTTTCTTCTATACCTTGCAATCGGTGCCACTTATGCTACAGTTTACAATAGCCTCTATTTCTGGTGGCTACATGCAGATACTTATGTTAATTGGCTGACTATGATCAAAATCGTATTTCCCATGCTCATGATATGCTTTGATGTGTCATGGCAGAATTTTTATTTGCTTATTTATATGCTCAATATTATTGCGAGTGCTTACTCCATGGTGCTCATCGCATATCATGCGCCGTATATAATGCGTGGAGCAAAGAATTGCGAGAAAAATTCAAAGCGATATGATCTCGGAGTACGACGAAATTTGGAGATGGTATTGGGAAGACGAATGCTATTGGCGTGGTTATCCCCATTTATTAAAAGTGATCTACCGCATGATGGCATACATTGGGAAAATGTTATGGATGACGCAGAAAAGGATCGTTAATTTGAATGCACATTAGCGTGTGCTTTATTTAAATTTGAATCTCTAGTCTAATTTTGAATTTTCATAATTTTTTAAGCATTGATTTAGAGTTAATATAATTACGAAAAAATCGTAGTATTGAAGTCGTATAAGCGGTATGGATTTTAGCGTTTTGAGGGTATGTGTCACAAAAGCTACCTGAATGATAGTAGGCTCCTTTCTCTTGTTTTTAAAAGTATACTTTATGCCACAGTAGGGATGTTCAATCATTATGCTCCTAACTTAAATACAAAATATTCCGCACACTGTCATCATTAATTGTTGCTACCAAAACTTTCTCCAATTAGCGACTTCAGCTTTGATAAATGTACTTCATTCAGCGTAAATCCTGTTTTGATTCTTTCTACCATGGGCTGGAAGTCCATGTTGTTCTCCACAGCATACTGTAAACAAATCAGCGCCTGCGAAGGTGCCTTATTTTCTATACATCCATCTATGTACGCCAGCAGGCATTTCTCAGATGGTGTCCCTGGTATACGATGTTGGTTTTTGTCGATATGGGTAAACACTTCGCTAGCTTTTTCAAAATTGCCACTACGCACTAATAACGCTAGTATGTCTCCAATCATTTTGCCTGTGAATTGTAAGTCTTTTGGACGGCGACCCTCTGGATCGGCAATTTTATGATAAATATCCCAAGCGATTTTACCCACTTGCTCGGGCAGAGATTGATGTGCGGGCAGCTCTCTGTTAGGAGGATTATCTATTAAAATTTGTAAGGTGCGTGTGAGGAGACTTTCACGGTTTGTGTGATCAAATATAACCATATCGGACCAGAAGCGGGGCATTAGTTCGACGGCTCCATGTATTTCAATAGCTTTTAATATTTCTTCCATAATACCGGGCTCTGGAATGTAAACGTGCGGGACGAGTAAGTCATAGATTTTCATGAATTCGTCGATTGGTTCTGTTTGGCAGAGTAGCGCAAAGTAATGACGATAATATATCGCCTCTTTATATGTATCGCCAATCAAATCATAATTATTACCAGTGTGTAGTAGTTCATCGACTTTCTTTGCAAGGGACTTGTCTTGCAAGTGATTGCGACAAACGTCCATTGCCGTTGTAAAGAAATACGTGTCTCGCGGGTGTTGAATTTTGAATTCTTTTCCCTTGATCTCATTTAAAATATCGACTATAATATGTGAAACTGGTCCACGTTCTCGACAGAAAATGATCAATAGGTAGTAGTAAGTGCTCAAGCCAAGCTCAACGCCTAGTTGCTTGAATTCCGCGAGTAGTTTTAGTGCTGAGCTACGAGCAAACTTGACGTTTCCAAAAGTGCTAACAACCTCTAATGCCGCATTTAAGGTGCCCAAATTTGGTTTCAACTGTTGCTGTGACATTTGCTGAAGTAATTCCCTGCATAGTTCCCAGCGTTGATCCGCCGTTTCTTTTAGGAAGTTCGTTACGCTGATCACTGCGTTGAAAGTTTGTGTGTCTAACTCAAATTGCTTTTCAGTTGCTTCTTGCAGAAGTGCATACGCGCGCTCAGCCTAATGGAAAGTTAGTAAGCAACTATGAAATTTAAACTATTAGCTCTGAACTGACTTACTTGAAAATATTTAGCCATTCCCCTTATAAGCGCTGCATACGATTGCGGTGTTTTTGGTTCTAATTCTCCAAACAGCTGTTCAGCTAGTTCGCCGTCTTTCCAAGTTTTACGATTACGTTCACGTGCGTCTGCGTTAGCCTTAAACCAACGTTCTTCAATCAATTCTTCCGGCAACGGCTCTTCGTTGTTGTAAAAGCAAATAAGTTCAAGAAGCTGCTGTTTCGTTTCATTGCTGATTTCAACACCCTTCTGCTTAATCAGATTATATACCACAAGAGCGTCTGTTACTTGCGAGTGGCGAATTAGATTATGCAGTGTATCGGCATCTACTTTAGTTTCTTCTGTATACAGCATTTTGGGTACAAATGCTTCGATGGGTGGTTGAGCTTCTTGGTGCTACAAATAAGTTCATTAATACCATTTTAAAAAGATATTTATTTGTTACTTACTTGGAACACTTCACGATGCTCTTCTCTAATAAATCGGGCCGCCTTTCGTCCAGCTTCTTGAGCCATGGCAAATGTTCGCTTGCCCACATTGGACATTGGAATCAGGTACGGATCATCATGATATTTGTAATGCGCTGCTGTTGGATCACGTCCAACCGTGCTGGCCAGTGCTTTTAATATATCAGTTGGAGACCGTTGTATGCGGTTGGGTATTTCTATAATATCCTCTGCCGCGCCACTGTACAAACGAGTGCTGCTGGTGACCAGATATTGAGCTGCACCTGTGTATATACGCGGGAATCTGCGAGTTAAATACATCGCGTTTTTATCTGACAATAATTTTAATTATTTAGCAAATATGTATATTTTATTTAAGAACACTCGTTACGAATATAAACGCCACCGCAGAGGAAATTATGAGGTTATGTCATACTCAGATGTTCGTTTGACATCGAATCAGCTGTTGCACTTTAGGGTGCGTTTGCAAAGGACTAATAAATTGGTTATAATGCACGGGGCGAATCGTAACCAATTGCGGCGAATTCGTAACGATCTATTGATTTTAAATGCTTCCGTTTTACACTGCGCTCAGGTGCATTATAATCGCTTGAATTCATTGCCCATACAATAGCTAATTAAGTGGCAGTTCACTCCGTTCTGTTACTTCCATTATAATCCAGGCATTATGATTTTACAGGAGTAAAGTCCGTTCCACAATTACAGGGTTAAGTACATATATATATAATACGCGAAGGCATTTTTTGTTCCGCATAAAAGATCTGCACCGTTCGTTCGATTTTCAAAAATGAGGTGTCAAATTAAAGAGCTTGGGCTGTAGATGTGCAAACTATGCATTTGACGTAGCGTTGACGCTTTTGTTTAGGTATGGCACTTCGGCGCTAATGCTAGGCGTCAGAAACCGTTCCGCCCAACGCTTTTGTTTAGGTATGGCAGTATACCAGGTGGTGTTAATGGCGAATTTAGATTTTCGCCGCAGTACTTCTTAATGTCAAACTGATGTGTTTGTTGTAATATGAATTCGCCTTGTTTGCAACAAAGACATCATTTTGACATTAGGAAGTACGAAAATCTAAATTCGCCAGTAACACCACCTTGTATAAATTCGCCTTGATCGATACCATCAGATCCGTACCGTTCGTTCGATTTTTAAAAGTGAGGTGTCAAATTAAAGGGCTCAGGCTGTAGATGTGCAGTAAGGATTTTTTTTTTTTAAAGAGTTGCCACCTTTTAAAATTTATCTATATTCAAATTATTTAAAAAAATTTATCAATTCTTCAAAATGGGCATTAATCGAAATATTTTTGAAAAGCTTTGTTTTATAACTTAACTATAGGAGGTTTGCACGTGTTTAAAAAATAAATTCAATTTGAATTAGGGGTAATAGGTAAGAGAAATATATATGTATCACCTTATGAGTTCCAAACGAAGTGGCTTTAAGAAGGTTTGGTCCGCAGGGAGCAAAAAGCGCAGCATTGTTCAGAACCGGCTGGCCAATTTCCGTGTATTTTGCCAGCAACGTTTCTTTGTCTTTGCCCTAGGTGCTGCCGGCGAGCGCCTTGTGGCTCTGTACTTTATTGCCAATTGCCGTTGTGCGCGCGGATAAGGAAAGCCGTGAATGCCCAGTTGAAGCCTCACCTCGACGATGTGACGATGTGATCTTCCAAAGCCTTCGATTGTGAAGTGTAAGAGAGTATGCTTGGCTGTTTGTTCTATGTATATATGTATGGTGACATGCAATAGGTCAAGCTCGAGAGTCTACTGCAGTGCTGTTGTATTGCTTCCGGAAACAGATCCGGGGACGCTAAGTGTTTCAAAAGGATTGTTATTAAGACTTACTTTGCTGTACCAGCATTTTCTTAAGTTTAGACCTCTTTTCTCAGTGCCGCAGAGGGTATTCTCTGGCAATTATAAATATGGCGACGGACGCAATTGTTAGAAAGCATTTGATGAAATTCGTTCACTACTAGAATCTACTGTATAGATTGGCGCTGTCATTATTTGAACTTTTTATGATCTTAGAAATTAAACCCGAAAATAGCGGTTACAAAATGATGAAAAAATCAAATATGTATGGTAAAAACAAAAAACAGATATAACAATTATACTTGCTTGAAAAAAATTTGAAAAAAAAAAATCTAACAAAAAAATCGATTACATGTAACCAAAGTTTTAACGGTTAAATTTTGATTTTACGATAGATTCCGATGGAAAACATTGACTCGATTCTGAGCCTACACGTATTTGAGTGTTATCCTGCTGAAAGTATGGCTGTAGGTATGTACCATCTTTTCATTAAAACGGCGTCGGGCTTTCGCTGAGACGTTGTACCTCGGCGATTGTACTTGCTTTCTTTTAAATTAATCACTTTGTTAATACATAGTAAGAAAGCTCTAAGAGCAAAAATGTGGTTTTGGTTAAAGTCCATTGGAAAGAGATACCTACATATGTATGTATGTACGCTTATCATTCATTACGAATCAGCCGCAAGTTCCCGGCTACGGTGTCTCCAATTACGCTTGCAAAGTTATGCACATCAAACCGTAACGTCAATATGTATATGCCTACATACATACATACAAGTGCATATATGTATATGTACGGATGTAGTATCATATATATATAAAGAAATATATATACACATATTTACATTTATCACACACCCAAGCGAGGCTTAAAAGAGCGTCTCAAAGAGGCGTTGAAGTTAGTCTTTGTCGCGCTTAAATCGGGAAAACATTAAACATTGACTGTTGATTATTAAGTGCAGACACCTACGCAAATACATACATAAGTACATATAAGTATGCAGCTATTGGCTTAATACAAGAATCTCACTTGCATTAGCAAAAAATGTCGAAATTAGTATTGTATTACGACGATGTTAGTCCACCGGTACGCAGTTGTCTGCTGCTTATCAAACTGCTGGACTTGGATGTGGAATACAAATTTGTGGATTTGTTCAAGGGCGGTCAACTTGACAAGGCTTTCTTGGAGGTGACTACATTGCTGGAGATATGATAGTAATTTTTAAATTTTTTAACTGTTATTCCACGCCACGCAGTTAAATCCAAATCACACAGTGCCTACTCTGGTTCACGATAACCTGATTATTACCGATAGTCATTTGATACTTATGCATCTTTGTGAGAAATTTGAAAACGCCAGCGAAGATGAGGCATTATGGCCGCGAAATTACGAGCAGCGCATTCGTGTATGGAATTTGCTGTTTTTTGAGTGCTCAGTGCTTTTTCGAAGAGACAGCGAGTTTTTGGTGAGTATGCAAGAATATTGCGGTGAATTTTTTGTTAAACGATTCAACAAGGTTTACTTTGTACTACTTTTTAAAAGCGGTCCTCATTGTGAACAGTTAAAAATTGCACAAGTTGGAAGAAATTAGCATTAAAATTTTTGTTTTTTCTTGTCGAATTGAAGGCATATTTAATGGGCATCAGGTTTCGTCGTGGAGGCTCAAATTTCCGACGGTGGTTCCAAAGATCCCTTCCCCGCCTCCCCTGGCACTGAAGTCGCCAAGTACGATTTTGATATCGTGACGGGGCACTGGCCCGCATGTGCTCTCTATGCGCTCATATAAGAGATCCTTGGACGCCTCGTCTTTCTCCTCCAATGGGACATGAGATGTGATGTTGAATAATCTCGTTTTGATGCAGATTGTGGCTAGACGTTCGTCCACCGGGGTGAACGCTAATACTCGGCGACCGAGCCTCTGTCCCACCGCCGCCACAAATCCGAATTCGCGCTTCTTTACGTGTCAGGTAGACGTCGCAAGGCTCTACGCGTTCGCTGCCTTGCCGCGTCCATCACATTTTTTTTAATGGCGGTGATGTCAGCCCCTGTATTCGCGAGAACATCAACCAGCCGGGCAGAGGCATCCTCTCCATAAAGAGGGGGTCTCATCCGAGGATTGTTGCATTGTTTTTTTTTTTTGGAGTTTGGTCGCTACCCAGAGGATAAGTGAATATTAGGAAAGTCGGGAGCTGCGCTTGAACCTTCCGCTAATCACTTCTGGCCACTCCCTGGTGTATGGTAGTCGAAATATTTCCCCACTTACAACGGCATCTACTTATGAAATAAAATATATACATAGATATATTTTCATACTTATGTACATACATACATAGGTATACATATCGAACCCAAACCGCCAAAATAACGCGAGCGACATTTTTCTTTAAATTTTCTTTTTGTTGCAGAAATGCATCTAGATGCTCTAGGAATATTTCTGCATCAAAAAGAAAATTTTGAAAAAAAAAATTCGCCTACGTTATTTTGGCGGTTAGGGCTCGATATGTATGTGTCATAATAAATTTTGTAAGTAACGGGTTGTTTTTGTAATGTAATTTTCAGTCCGGCATTGTTCGTGGTGGCTTCAAAAGTGTTGATTTACCGCTGCACGAACGTAAACTGCTAGAGGCCTATACTATGATGGAGACATATCTGCGAAGGCACAAATATATGGCCGCTGATCATGTAAGTTCAAGTTCGTCGGAATATTTAATTATCGTCGTTTAAAGTACAAAACCGCGTAGCGTGCTGCTGCAAAACCTGGTAACTGACATTTGTGCCAAAAAAATATTTGCTCACCGGAAGTTCCTGGCATCAAGTCCTTATCCATTCATACCTAAATATCGATTCTTAGACACGGGAAAAATAGATAATTAGGGATAAAAGAAAGAACCGTTTTGAAATGAGAAAAATTTTACTCTCTTCTCAACCTCACCTCGTAGGTTTTGCAATTTCTTGATACGCGATTTTGTACTTTAAACGACGATATGTATGTATAGTACTCACGTGTTTGTGTATAAATAATTTATAACATCTATTGTCTCTTAAATTCTTTATGTTAGCATCTTATACATTTATTACGAAGATCTCTCCAACTAACCGCAATTTCATTTGATTTCGTATCAATTACGGAAATTTATGCAATACATATAAAACTCTCTACCAATGTACATATGTACTACCACTTGTATGTACATATGTATGTATATTTTCTCCCCACAGTTGACTATTGCTGACATATCCATCGTAACCACATTGAGTACGGTGAATCTAATGTTTCCGATTGCCGCTGGCGCCACAGACAAATGGCCTCTATTGAATGATTGGTTCGCGCGCATGCGAGCATTGCCGATATATCATATCAATGAGACTGGTCTGGAAAAGCTACGCGTTGTCATCGAGCGAATTGGCAAATTTAAATTTCCAACAAGCGAAATTGCGACACCACCCGAAGAGGAGCAGGAGCCCAAGGAGGAACCTAAGACAGAAGAAGCGAATGTTGTGAGCCAAGAAAATGATGAAGACAATAGGCGAGAAAATACTCCAAATGTGGATTAGTTTAAATTCACTGAGATTTACCGAAATTTTGAAATATATTTTCTTTACGGTTTTCATAAATTTCATATGAAGGAACTGCTTAAATTATTTAAGTGAAATGTATTAAAGATTGATTTAAATCGTTTTAGTAAGTAATAGAGCATAAATTCGGATTAAAGAGAACGATTTTCAGAAAGTCGATTTCTTATTATTTTTCTGAATGAAAGTTAATAATTAGAAAGGGATATGTAGTTTTAAAACTCCCTTTTACCTCTACAGTACAAGCGTCCCATATACTGGACAAGTTTTGCTGTGCTTAAAGCTCTTTTTTGTAAATAAGAGCTTTTGTTCTTAAAATAACAGTGGTTTTGAGAAAATTATACCATTCTTATTTATCGCGTTTCTTTAATTGTATTTTGTGGGTGCATTTGAGCGTGCTTTTTTCAGAAATCTGATAAGTGTCACAAAAGTCGATAGTGACGATTTTAATATATTGGAAAAAATTTACTATTTTTCGGTGGAATGGGGATTCCAAAAATGTTTATTCATAGTTTTAAATAAAATATATTTCGGAAAAAAAATAAAAATATTTGAGATAATTTATCTGCCTATGATAACTATGCCTCTCAACGATTCATAATGAGCTGCACTCAAACTCGATACTCCATTTTGTGTAATCGATAATTTTCGCAGTTTTTGGCAATAATTTTTTGAGGCATCTACATTCATGATGGGCACTGCCTTGCCTGCGGGCAAAGCTCTCTCTCTCTCTCTGCCCATCACTGATCTAAATAAAAAATTTTCGATTTTAAACAAAAATTCTATTTACATTTAACATTGAATGTCCTAGGCTTGGACCAATTGTCCGCTTTTGCATGACATTGTAACCAATATTAGATCAAAACTCACACTTTATGCATTCAATTCGGACCACTTTCAGATCAATTCACCAGTCTTTCATTACACTGCTTTGATCGGGATACGATTGTATTTTTCGAACAATTGTACCAAACTTTCCTTCAGAAAAATGCTACAGTCATAACATACTACAAGAGTGCTCGGAAGTGAAATAGCAAATTTATTGCAAAGAAATTTTAGACCATTTTTTTTTTAGAAAGTAGCTGAACACAAGTTAAAGAAAATTAAACAGCTTACGTAATTTAGATATTCCTAACGTTGAAACCGCTCTTAAATTTCATAGCTTTTCAATTCATTGGCAATGTGTGAAAGGAAGCTGTCAATTCAACGATCAGTCGCAGTTCCTTTTTACAAATCAAAGTGAAAGTCATGTGTAAGATTTAGTTTTGATTTTGAAATTTAAACATTTCGGAAATGCATTCAATAAAATTCCTATAAATTCTATACAAAATTTAATTGTTAGTTTTTTTTTCTCTGTTGTGCTCTCAAACACTTAAAGCTTAAATCATTCAAAAACCTCCGCTTGTACTCGTGCATAGACATAAGTTCACGCAAGTCGGCGGTGCACTAATTCGCGATCGTCCGTCCCTTCAGTAATGTTTGCCAACAACGAAATTAATCATGTGCGCCCCATTTTGTATTACGACGACATCAATCCACATTCGCGTGCTGTGTTAATGATCTTGAATATGTTAAACGTCGATGTAGAGTTGAGAGCAGTCGAAATGATCAAAGGCGAACACTTGAAGCCGGCATATGCGAAAATCAATCCAGCAGGCACCGTCCCCACCATGGTGCACAAGGATCTCATCGTCAGCGACAATGCAATATTCGCTTATGTGTGTGAAAATCACGGCAATGACAAGGCAAAACAGCTAATTGCGTTTAATTGCTACAAACGGCATTGTCGTATCTTGTCCAGGCTATTCTTTGAGAGTCAAGTGCTGCATCGCATCCATGGACAATTGATGGTAAGATGATGATGTTGCGACGTGTCAAAGAGGTATTTATTGGTTGTATATATTGCAGACTGATTTAGTGCGTAAAACTATTTATGAAACAGATGTTGATTATCATCAGAAGAAAGTGGAGAACGCGTATGATGTGATGGAGTCCTATTTGAAAGATGGTGCATATATGGCAGGCTCTGTGGTGAGTGTACTGTAGGTTATAGGAAACAAGGAAACTATAAATCTAAAATTTAGAGTAATTTTTAGGAGTCTAACATAAAACCAAAGGGGAGAGACTTAAAGCTTAAACAGACGCCAGCGTTGATCCGGATTAACTCTGACTTAATCCGGATCAACTGCAGTTAATTCCCGAGTTGATCCGGATCAACGATGTCGTCTGTTTATGCTTTTACTGCTTTACGCCACCTTCGAACGACAAACGGATTTTATGAAAAACTCGTTCATGGCAGGAATGCACTCGGAGGTTTGTCATTGCCTGCCTTTTTCTAATTTAGATGTTGCTCGTGCCAGATCCCGAATACAAGTCATACGGAGTGGTAGTACGCATCTCTAAACACTTAGCCACAAGGGCCCATACTAGATGCTACGGCTGTTATTTCTATGGATGAATGCTTCAACGCTTCTATACTCAAGTTTTTCTATGACCTTTAAAAGGTATTTAAGAGTAGAATGTCACCTCTTGCAGCGGAAGGATCTGAGGGTCTGCCTCTATGATATCTTGCATTTATTGTTGTGATCCTCAATAGAAGAAGACATCCTTGCTTCCCCTAATCCCCCTTCCCCTTTTTGATGTAATCTTAGATACAATAAATTTGTATAGAAGGCTCACAGCGAACAAAATACCTTCAAAGCCTTAACATCTTTCAGCCTGTTTAAAGAGGTCTTTGGTACGGAGTCTATCACTTCGAGGAATCCTCTAAATTAAAACTTCTTTGATAAGACCATCATCAGCTTTGTATCTGTGGTGTAGTCGACTCTCATACATTAGCGTGTGAAAATCTGCTCAGAAAATTTCACAGAACGATCGTTGTGTGCTGTACAGATCTTTAGCTACTACACCTGGGAATGCTTGATACCTTTATCCGTGGCGGGACTTTGAACCTGTAGGCTTAAAAAAGTGAGTGCTGCTAATTATGGAGACGATATCCACTTCTCTTTCGGTATTTCAAGGGAAGGCATTTACAATGCCCAAAGCTTGTGTCTGTAGTGACAGGAAAGCAGCACTAAAAACATTGGCCTGCCATCAGGTCAGCTCTGTAATTCGTTAAACCCCAAACCGTTGCTTTATTAAAAAAAACCCGAAAGCCTTTCGATATGTTACAATTGCAGCTAAGTCCACTAATTGCGAGGAAGATAGTATCCTAACCTCTAATTTCCTAAGTATTTTAAGTGGATTTAAATGAAAAACTATACTGGCACCTGCATTCCTATTCCACTAACATTGCTCTACCCCTTTTCCAGTTGACTGCAGCTGATATATCATTTGTCGCTTGCCTCGGTGCCTTGGATATGATGTTTCCCATCGAGGTAGATCGCAAGAGGTGGGAAAAGCTGAATGACTGGTTCAGGCGCATGCGTTTACTGCCTGTGCATAAAATCAATACCAATGGAATTGAGAAGCAACGTCGAGTCGTCGAATATTTTGCCAAGTTTCGATTCGCAGGAGACGTAAGTCGTTACAAGACGGGCGTGCGTGATTCACTTGTGCCGCAATTCACTGAAACGCCGGCACGTTGTAGTATTGGCGTGCAAACGAACGCGGTACTACAAACTGATTTCTCTGATCAATTTTACGCTGACGACGTTTTACAACGAAATCGAATGGTGGAAAATAGTGCAAAAGATTTGGAAGTTGAAATATTCCCGCAAACAGTAGTTATTGATTTATTAAAAGAAATTCCAGCGTTAGAAGTGACAGCCCTAAGCTTAGAAAAAGATGACACGCAGAGCGCACCAAAGCAATCGCCTGCCCAACTTAATGATCGGCATCATGAACAAATGCCAGAAGACCGCTTAGTCCCAGAACCTGTGATCATTCCTGCAGCGCAAACTGAGACGAGTACTATCGCAGAAAGAAGCTTTGGCGGCGAACAGAAAGAAAAACCGCCAGTGCCACCAAGGCGGAAACGAAATAGAACGATTGTTATGACAGCGTTAGATTTCAACGGAAAGAACTCAGATAATGAACCCATTGAGGATCCGAGAGGAGTTATTAAAGATAAACCTATAACGGCCACATCAGAAAACCAGAAGGACAAGTACACACTAGAAAGCAATAATAGTAACTCGAGCCGTTTGAACGGCGGCGTGGAGCCTATCGTTCCACCAGAACCGCCTGTCAGTGCTTGTCCCTTAACAGCAGTTAACAAGACCTCGGAAAGAATCAAAGAAGCCGGGAAGAAATCGTTGCCGATACCAGCTAAACCGCCACCTACAAGAGACGAGAAAATGAAAACCAGCAGCGAACCGAAGCCGAATGTCAACGACAAAAATAAGGCCACTAAAATACAGATACTGCCGCCAGGCTCTCCAATCAACGGTCAGCAAGTGGCTTTGCAGTATACGCGCGGTTCATATGCGTCTGCTGCACCATCGCTGGTCGCGCCACCACCGACCCCGAATAATTCATCGCAAGATGTACAAAACGACTTTGAGTTCCCGCCACCACCATCTGAGGTTTCGCTACAAAATTCACGCGCATGCTGCAAAGCGGTTCGAGCAACAAAATTGATCGTATCTAATAAAGTAAACGCAGAATCTATACGGAAGACTGTTGTAAAAAAAGCAAGTGGCTTTGCACGAACAGACAATTCAAAGGTCTTAGCTGATTCCGTGACAAAGACTGCTGCGAGAAAGTCAACCGATGTAAAGCCCATAGCCGACAGAAAAAGCGCCGTTACCGATAACAAAAAGTTTAAACTTGTAAAGAAAACGAGACTCATTGCCAGCGGTACGAAATCGCCTAGTTCTCATATCTCGATTGCATCATTGGGAAACAATAAGGCTGGAAAGGTGCAGAAACCTTCGAAAGAAACAAACACCGCGCCAAAATTGATTAGAGCAGCAACGGGTAGACCTGTTACAAAAAGTCAGGACAGGAAAATTCAAAAACTAGGAAAAGGCGCTGATGTTAAAGTGGTTAAAAGTTCGGGTGCCACTGTGAATGGCTGCAAAAGTGTAAAAGGAGGTTCGCTTAACTCTACTGGAACAGTGAGAATAAATACCAAGCCAACAGAAAAAAAGCGAAGAGTTGAGGGAGGTGGCCATTGGCGATCCAAGGAAAAAACACTGGCACCAGCAGTAGATATGCACTCCAAACTTTTGAATGCTGTCTTAAAAGAGCCTAAAACTGTTGAGGTGAAATCTGCAGTCCTTGTTCAAAAACTGGAACTTCAAAAAACAGAAATTTCAGAAGCGAATTCCACGCCACCAAACACAACGACAGCTGAAGGAAAAGCGGCTTCCCAAATCACTACTAAAGCCGTTAAAAAAGAGTTGAAGCCAGCAAGCCAAGCACTCAGCTCAAAAAATAAAGTAAACGTCTACCCTGCAAAAATAACAGGACACAATAAGACTAAAACAACAAAAATCCTCAATACTAGGCCATTTGTAGTTGGTGTAACCGCTTCCAACAAAAGTCAGCCAAACGTGGATACAGTAAAGCGGGCAGTGATAAAAATTAAAAAGAAAAGAGGAAAAGTTCCAAGAGTAGCGCAGACTCTACCATTCGAAACACCTTGTGCTTCGATAAAAGAACTGAAGTGCGTTGTTGGACAAAATAGAATACAACAAAATGCGAGCTCGGCAACACTAACGCCCGACTACAGCACACCAGAAACCACTACCGGAAAAACATCGCAGGCTCTAGCAGTTTCTGCAGCTAACCGCATATTGCAATCGCCAAACGAGGCTGGACATATTTTGCCAACTAATCCATTTCCGCTTGCGGGCAAGAGCGAAGAAGTGACTTCCTCAGCTCTGAAAGAGCTACCAGCGGCAGTGGGACTGGTTGCTAAGACAATGCAGACACTTGCTGCTGCAACACCAAATTTTCGCCCACCGGCCATAAACATATTGAAAGTACTGTCCCCAAAGCCTTATCCACTTTCCCCACCACTACTGCCATTTCATCACAAGTTACCACCACCACCGCTGCCAAAGTTGTCACCAAACGACGGAATGCCACAGGCAGGTACCGTAGCAAAGGCGCTGCAGTTTTTAAGCGCAGTAACCTCAGAAGCAAATCCGCTTTGCGGTGCCGTTAAACCATTCAGAAAAGCTGCCTTGAAGATTAAAAGCATGGAACCGCCAACATCAGCGGTGGTGAACAATGGTGTCGAGGAAGCGGTTGATGCATAACCACTGGCTGAAATACTGACGGCGACTGTACGATATATGAACAAGAGCAAGGTAGAGCATACGAATGAAGTAACAACGACAAATCAAACTGAGCAATCGTTCGCAAAATTAAAAAAATTTGTCAGATAAAACGGTGGGAAATATGGCGCCAGCGGCTGAGGAGAAGGCAGTAGCAACAAATCTTAATCAAATGGCAGATATATGTAGCTGTGATGGATTGTCAGATTACATCGTCGTTAGCGTTGAATGAGGTTAACAAATCGGCAGATGGAGTTTTGGTTAATATTAAAGAGGATTAAGTACGGAATACAGCTGCAGAGGCTGAACTCGAAGCAACAGCTCAAACAACATGTGATATCGAGTCGCAACTAAATAGTGCTTCTTAGCAGCTGCCCAAGTCGTAGAATCGCCCGCGAAAGCTGATCTCATCGAAGCCACCCTGGAGGCAACAAAAACGTTGGATTTAGAGGCGCATAAAGCGAAAAATTCTTCAAGAACATCGGCCGTTTGCACCAACACCGCCAATCAGACCGAAATATACGTATTTATAAATACAACGCCCCCACTGCCGTCACTTCCGAAAACAACAAATAAAACGTTGATATCGAAAAAGACTGAAGAACAGCGCACTGGTGGTGAGACAGTGATGCAAGCACGTGGGTTGAGTCCACGCATGCGTGGGGAACGCCCAAAATTAAATTTCGAAAATTAAAAAAAAAATATTTAGAGAGAAGAGAGGTATCGCACAGTGCAGGTTTTTAATTTCATCAAATTTCAAATCCCCGTATACCGATAAAGAAGTTCTCAAAGGAAGAAAATAAAACTTTATCGCACATCTACAGGCTAAGATCTTACATTTTTGGAAATATAGATTGATATTGATCTGTTGATAATTCATCTAACTTGTTGAATAATTTGAATGTAACTTTTTAAACACTTGGCAACCCTCTTCAAACACTCCAAATGTTCAAAATAAATATTTCTTAACATTCATACGTTTGTCTCCCGTATTTTTATATTTCACATAATCATTGTGTTCAGGGGCGTACCCAGGAATATATTTTAGGGGGGGTTTTATATTTCTGAAGATATATCACCGGAAAATTCTGAAAATCTGCTTGATAATACGCTCTTTAAAATACATTTATGCAAGTTTTATGTACAGTATGTAATAAATAAACGTTTTAAAATTCATAAACTGCACTTTATTTACATAAGATTAACAGAACTCAAACACTTTTAACCGACTTCAAAAAAGGGGAGGTTATCAATTCGCCGGAATACATAACTTTTTTACCACGTGAACCGATTTCAATAATCCTTTCTTTATTGGAAAGATGGTACCTCAAGGGTCGTCCCGTAATTTGGTTTAGAGATCCGATGATTGCATCACGAAGAAATTAACGGAACCGCTAAATTTTTATATGAGAATTGAAGTCGGTTGTGTTCTTTCCTTAAAAACTACTTGTTTAATAAAAAGTTCTATAAACTCAAGATGCGCTCAACTTTCAAAAGTACCTAATAAAGAATTTTAAAAAAGAGTCAGTAAAAATAAATTTGATTCCATGAATTTTTGCACTTTTATGTTAATTTTTTCGATTTCTGGTTTCTGGTTTTCGATAGATGGTGATTTTTCACGATTGCTAAATTTTTTTAATATTTCGAGTTCCGAAAAAATTAACTGAACTCTCAAGGAAAACGAAAAATTCATATAAAACGACGGACGAGAAATGGAAAAGAAATTTTCTTCTACCAAATTTTCATAAATCAGTTTGCAGCTCTCAAGAAAAAAATGCTCGTATCAAGGTACATTGAACAGGTAGTATCAGTAGAGCAGCTGATTTGATTTATTTTCAAATTATTTGGTCTCGAAAATGTCAAATATTTTTAATTTTTTCTCACAAAAATTCTGAATTGTTAAAATCCATTTGCATGTGAAACCTTTTTCCATACAAAACAAGCGATTGAATAGCAGCTTTTGGAACGTTCGCCCAACTCAGCAGCACAACCGCTGATTACTGGCCCTTGTAAAGGATGGATCAATGCTTCGAGAAGCAAACAAATTTACTAGGAAAGAAAGTTGCAACAATTTTTATTTTTTCCAATTTAAATCTTTTATTTTTTATAATTTTTTGTATTTCACATGGCACGCTTTGATTTAGAAGAAAAAATTCAGAACAGTTTTTGACACTTTCGATACCAGAAGCAGCAACAAAATACACGCAAATGTTGTTTTTGCTCTACTGGTACTACCTGTTTAATGTGCCTTGGCTCGTATATTTATTTCTTCAAGAAAATTTACAGCAAAAGCAAAGTGCTTTATAATAAAAAATATTTCTTGTGATTTTTCTTGAGAGCTGGCTTTACGATACAGTTTGTATTTCAGGTTATTAGCTTTAGGGGGGGTTTGAACCCCAAAACCCACCCCTTGTGTGCGCTAATGGTTGTGTTACATAGTTAATTAAGTTAGACCTTACAAACAGGTGGCAGCCCTCTTTAAAAGTAATTTAACCTTGTTAACTCTCGTTCGTCTGACATTGCCATACACGTTTTTAAAACTGATGAATTAAGTTGAATTTGATTTTTTAAACATGGGGCTATCCCGCTAAATATAGTTCAGAAATAAAAGTTTTTCAAAAATTCATTCGATTGAAATGCATTCATTTAACTTACTTTACTTACTTAATTTGAACTCAACCTTTTGAACAGGTGGCAATCCTCTTCTAACACCTCAAAAATTATCCTAGTGTTCAAACTAAAGTTTTCTTAGCACTCTTCTGTTAGCCATCCTCATTTTGTTATTTCATATAACTTGTGTACATACATACATATATGTTAACTAAATTCGTCCAATCTCTCACAATCGCTTTCCACAGACTACTTTTATGTTAGAAACGCTCGCAGCACAGAATAAAATTAAGCTTTTTTTTTTTTTTGTGTTTGCAGACAGCTAAAACATGGGTTACCTAGAAATTATTTATATGTGCGTCAGCTTAAATTTTAATACCGAAATTTTACAACTTTGTTCACAACTAGGCAATAATCATAAAAAAGATGTCTATTGCAACGCCGACGCTTATCGTAGATATGCAGGACAAGTTCAGCCTCAACTCATGTCGAACGAAATTTACATTTATGACTTGCCAAACCCGCAAATCATATCGAGTTTCACTCAATAATTGCAAACCCTCTTTGACAGCTGCACGTTTTCAATAATACTCTACCGCATTAACGGTTGGCCAAAATCAGCGAGTGTCCTTTACTGACAAGGGACAGGCACAAATAGGTAATAGGCGCATATACTAAATACATATATACATTAGACCGCACCAGAAAAAAATTCTAACGTATTTTTGAAAGGCAATTCGGAAAACAAAAATTTTTTATTCGTTGATTTTAATTACGCCGTTCTAGTACTTCTCCACCAGGTTTCAGTTCTTATCACCCTAACATACGACCCTAATGTCAGTAAATTAGAGTTCACCAATAATCATTAAACTTTTGCTAAGGAAGTATGCACATACATATTTCGACGATTCCAATAGATTTATAAAAAAAAAATTATATTGTAGGTATCAACGAAAAATGTAAAACGGCAACCCCTATTTCGGCCAAACGTAACATTTTTTCGAAATTACCTTGCAAAATACTTAAGATTGAGCCGTGTAGACCGAATGTTTTTTTTTTGTTTGCTTGTAAGGTGGTGCGGTCTAATGTACATCTGCCTACGGATAACAATACGCAAATATGTACTTTTGTATGTATGTATGCCTAAGCAGACTACAACGAGCACAACATGCCTAACGCAATTTCGGTTTGAATTGCATTCAGATAAGGATGGGAGTGAAATTCAGATGTTGGCTCAATCATTAATACGAAACCGGATGCCAGTGTGAACAGTTCGAGCGAATGTGAACCGAAATCGTAAAAGTAGGCAACTTTTTGACAGATGACTCTGGGGAATACACTTACGTGTGTAGGTATATGTATGTATATACACACCGCGTGTCACAATTGTAAGCGCACCTTATTTTGAAAAGTTTTAACAATTTATAGTTTTTGTTATATAATTGTAGTTATTTTTTTTTTATAAATATGTAAAACATTCAACAAATTTTTCGTAAAAATTTCGTGATTTTTGATTATTTTTTGGGTGTGTTATTTTGTAGCAGTTAAAAAATTTGTGTACAATTAACTAGGACTTACCGTTGATTTTTGGTAAAATTATTTGTTGAAGGTGTTCATAATTTCCTTCCATATAAAAAAAATCGGCGAACATACGGAAGAAAATGACTGACACCATCATAAAAAAAGAAGCCAAAAATCAACGGTATGCGCTAGCTACTTCAAAATTGCCCTTTGTTAATTAAAACTAAATGGGTTAAAAATTGTTTTTTTCCGAAAATTTCCTAACAAGATTTTGTCATTTTAAATTTTAACAGGTTGATAAATTTACAATTTTTTGGTGCAAACGCGCATAAGATTTCTAATAATAAATAAAATTATAGTTTAAAAAACTAAAACCTCCCTATTATAACTGCCATTCGTACTGTCATCAGGTATGTAACTTGATCTTGCATCTTTTAGGCGCATCAATATTACATAGTTACATCCCGAGCTAATAAAAGGAAGGTAAGAGGTAAAAAAGCTTGCAAGTTTTCTGAAAGTCTGTTGAATTTGTTTGAATATTCCACGAAATTTGAAACTGGATTTAAACGTGTTTTTTTTAAGAATAAACTATATTTAAATAAAATAACAAAATCAATTGTTAAGTTTTGTCAATATGCGGTGCGCTTATAATTATGACACCGGGTGTATATACGAGTATATACATATGTAAGAGTAAATCTATGAATATTGTCATCGTGAACGGTATGAGCTAGGATTAATAGGGGACAAGTGTCATTAGCAGTAAAACAAAGGAGGACTACTGTAAATGTTATGCGAGCAGCGGAGAGCAAACAAAGGCCTAGCCACATCAACAAAAAAAGTGGATGTGCAAACAACCCGACAGGCAATAATACCTTGTCAAAATAGAGAGTAGGGTACAAAAAACCCACACCTGACACACATACATAAATAAGTGTGAAGGATAAAAATTGTAAGCAATTTCCGTTTAGAGGCTAACTTCTCTACTCGTAAAAGTGGCAGCATGGTTGGAGAGCATGCAAGAGCTTGGTTTGTATTTCATTTGCATACATATAGTACATACATGTGTATATACATATGTATATTGTGCGATATGAATTTCCTCGGTAGCATAAAAATGCCAAAACAAGCTAAGAAATAACGTGGGATCATAAAAATTTTTTAAGAAGCCTCTAAAAGAATGTCTTATTCATTAAAATTTGTAGTAAAAAATATATGAACATATATCTACATGTGTACATTATGGTGCCTCACCAAAACAAATTACGGTCTTCATCGCAATTATAAATCTTATTATATTTGAGAACCTCCGCCAAAATTTTTTGGAGAAATATTTAGATTTACGTGAGCTGCATCGTTTTGATCACAATTTTATGCAGACGTTTTAAGATTAAACTCTTATATCATCTGAAGTGATTATTGGAAAAAATATTTTTAAAAACTAGTTTTATTTATAAAAAAATCAATTTTTGGAGCTACTTTCATATCGGTTCAACTCATGTAAATCTAAATATTTTTTCGAAATATTTTAGCGAAAGTCTTAAAATACATATAATTGATTTCATAATTTGGATGGTAAGCCCGTACCGATTTTTTATTGCACGGAGTGTGATGCACTCTAGTAAATAATAAATAAGTATGTATATGCATTTGGAATATTATTTTTTCAAACTTAAAGTTCCCATCTGTTACTGAAGTTGCTCCACGCCACAACAGCTCACTTAAGTCAATTAAGTATTACAC